CACACACACACACACACACACACACACACACACACACACACACACACTTTACTAACCACAAATTACTTCTAGTTCTTATTACTATTTTTGCATAATGTATAAAGAAAATAACGTAATAAATTATAAATTTTACTACGTCATTGGAAGGTTTGCTGGTACTTACAGCACAGGTTTTCCTTTTTTAAATACCAGCGGTCATATCTACCGATTCTTTGATACTTACTTACTGTATACTATGCATGTTGTATTATTATTATGGCAAATAAATTTATTATTATTAATATTATTATTATATACACAGGTAAGTTGTTGGCGCTGTACTATCAGCTTTCCATTCTTTTAGCGCAAACGAGAGTTGATATTTAAAAATGATATCAGTACCATTTGACTAATGAGTTGCCAGGTATGGATGGCCCTTATTTCGTCTATATTTCTGGTTATATGATCGATGCCTTATTCACTCATTCATATATTTATATGTTTAATATTGACCTCTTACGATGTTTGGTTTTTTTTATTGTAAGGTAACCCTCTGTAATGAAAAAAAAATCAACATTGAGTTCTGTGGTTTTCTCGATTGCTACTGGTTGTTCGAATCTAATCTTTTTTTTTTTAGTCAGTCGTGACTATAATAGTGTTGGGTTATAGAAAAATTTCCATTTTGAAAAATCATAATCAGTGATACTTGTCAATGGTTGAACATATTGAACCTTATTATGAGAATTTGTGAAAATAAGCCAAGCAGGGTAAAAGATTTCCACTACTTGAAAATTTTCAAAAAAATTATCCAACACATATTAATGACCATGAGACTTGTAAAGGTCCCAAAACGTTGGTTTGTTTGAAGAAACAAATATGCGCGATTTAGATCCGATTCCATAATTAATAATTTCGTGATGTCTTCTTGCAGAAATCATATCACGCGATTATGTTAAGTATTTGAGGTTTGTCATCATTATCATTGTCGTCCATACTCCGATGTTTGACTTCAGCCACTGTTAGCTATATTGTATAATTATAAATATGTCAGGCAACTTACCGTCTCCAGAATCCCCATTTATTAGGTGGTGAGTAAGGCGGAATATAGATTTTTCGTGTAGTTACATTTTCATCAGGTACTGTAGTTTTACGTGTTCTATTATTTATTCTATTATTATCTGCAAATCAAAGTAACACCTTAGACCAAAGTATAAAGTAGCATAAGTCCATATAAATGTAGCAACGCGTCTTGTGCGTGTGCATGCAACAAACGCCGTGAACGATGCGTACTTTCATATAATTTCACGCATCAGTCGTCCCATGCGCCTTTCATTACAGGATTGAAGCGTTCGCTCGGTGTTTAAAAAAATTATATCAAACACAAAATTTGCTTATATTTTGGTTTTTTGAACAAGACTGCGTCAAGTTCTAAATTTTTTAGCATTTCATTTCTATTTTATAATCATACTCATATAATCTTTCTAGCATAAAAATATCAATATGTAAGTATTGCATTTGACAAAGGTTATTTTAATTTACTGTAATGTATAATATCTTAACTTTTTCAAATTATCTTTAAAACTTGTCAGTGCGACTACAATAATAATGTGACAAGTTGACAACCCTACGCTCCTAGAGACCGGTATTCATGTGCCGAACAGGCGGGATTTGGACACACATACGTAGCACAATTCATATATGTACAATATTTGTGCCTTTTCAAGGCGAGACTCAATAGGCATTATTTAGGTGTGTACAGATCTCACCTATAATAATGTTGTTATCACTATGAACAAACCGTATTTCTATTACTAAGATATAATTAGGTTAAATCACAATTAGTGGTCTGTGGTCCTTGTTTACATTAGAACTAGTCGAAAGCATTCAAAACTATTACATTAAATGGAATTCTAAAGACCCTTCACACCGGTGTTGATAACACAAGTTACAAAAGCAAAGGCACCAACGCCAAGAACTGATCTCTCTGTAATGATTATTATTATTTACTATCTTCAACAGTCTCATAATAAGTTTACTTGAGTACAGCTGTTTATGGTCCCCTTATTATACATATATGTATATGGATTGCACTCCAACCACATAGAACAAGTACAGAACAAGGCTCTTAAAATAGTCGCATTCCAATCGGATCAGAGTCGCACTCTTGCAACTTACTGAGAGAGGTTGGCCAAGTTTGAAGTTTGTTCACTACCGACCCGACGTAAAATACAGGATATTGCTGTCTTGCATAAGCTCATACACGGTAACCTTGTTTCTCCTAGTCTGCTATCTCACATTAACTTTAATATTAAACCTAAATTTCGTCGTCTTAAAACCTTAGTGTTAAATGTTTATATTTCGATAAACATTTAACACTAAGGTTTTAATACATCCTTTTAGAACCCCGTGACTAGAATGTGCCGAAACTACAATGATTTACTAATATCAGAATCAACAATCTTTGTAGAATTCGTACCAATCTCCTAAATTATCATTAGTACTGCCAAATTAATATATACGTTAGTATTTAGTCGCATTAGTGTGTAATCTCACTTTTCTCTCTTTTTTTGTAATCCTTATATAAACATTACACTTCGCATAATAACACTGTATGTACAAGATTAGGTCTACATTCAAGATTAAGACTATAAATTGTATCCTAAATACATTCCACGTTTTGTGCATCCAATAAAATAAAATAAAATAAAAAATATCTCAAGGGGAAGGCACCTACGGTTTACATTAAATAGACTAAGTAAGTTGAATTTGAGAGCTGCAGTTCGTATCAATGAGACCTGTATTACAGCTCTAGGGTTTACGTTTAGGCGCTAATCCTACCGATTAAGCACACCAAGCGATGTGAGTCAGGCTTTCTTAGCATTCGCTTGAATTGCACAATCTACGACTGGAATTACTCTCCTGTAACTCGACCAATATGCATGAAATTTGAAACTAGCATAAAAAAACACAATTTCACAGGTCATACCGACGCCCAAATGTTGAATTTTTATCAGTGAGTGAGATGTTATGTCTATGGAAAAAATATTCAGTTGTAAAATTTTTACAAAATCTAAATTTAAAAAAAATTAGTAAAATGCTTGCGCGCGCAAAATACTGCAGTGCTTCGGTAGGAAATCGACATTCCAATTAGTTTTATTTCATTACTGTTTAATTTAATATTGACTATAAGGCCATCAGCTTAAAAAGATAACAAATAATTAGAAACCTAAAATTAATGTACGAAAGCTATAAACTGGTCGAAACATATCACAAAGTCGAAAATTTTTTTTCCGAAATAACGTTTGTTCGAATTTTTATTCCCCCGAAAGCTGAATTATAACGAAACAGTTGTTCTTTCAGGATATATTGAATGTTTGTCGCAAAGACACGTTAGGTTCGGTTAGGTTTAAAAGAAAAAACATTTTCCTCTCAAAATTACTTTCGAGGTTATGAAATTTCGACCAAACGTCATTTCGGACTACTGGTAACCCTAAAAACTACAACCTCGCAGTCACCGTTGTAGTTAAAGCGCCTTATAAAAGAAAAACAAAAGAATTGCGGCCGGTCAGTAGGCGGAATATGGATTCAAAGGATATTGACTATGTGAAATTTTACTAATATTAGCTATTTCAAGGTCAAATCACATATTTTGCCAACTTTTCAGATGCTACATCAACTTACTTGTTACTTTAGAGCGTGTTATGGAATTGGTGGTAGAGGTAGTTCTTGAGTCATGTGGATTGATGATGACTATTCGTTTAATATTATCGGTTATTCGTTTTGGTCTAAGAGTCGTAACTTTTGAGTTAAATGTACAGATTTTGTTACACTGCAATAAAAAATAATAGTAAATTCAATTCAGTGTCGCGGACTGTGGCTGAAAATACTTCCTTAAAGAATATAATACGAGGGGCATTCAAAAAGTAACGCTTCCATCGCTCTTACTTTTATTTCTTTCAAAACTACTAAACTATCTATGCATGGTGTAATAGAGGTAACCTTAATCTATATATACTCTCTTGTCATTTTCAGAATGACTGATTAGATCAGTGGATTTGAGGCTAAAACAAAGAACCGTCAATAAGTTTTTGGTAGAAGGAAAACCATAATCGCTTGATGAATGTGTAATGGAATGTTGTAATGGATATTCAAGCTTCGTGGTATATGTTAATGGATATCCAAGCCATCAATAAAACTGTTTCCTGAGCAGAGCTATATGGGCACGTCTCAAGAAGAAGCTTTGACTCTATAGAGCATCTTGTCGTGCGGAGGGTGGAGAGAAGCTCATGCGATGAATTGACCAAACAAGGTCTGCTTTAGGCGGTCCTTTGCATGAGTGCACGTGAGAGTCCACAAACAAAGAGAGAGAGAGAGAGCGCGCGATATCGTGAGGCGAGCTACATCAGCCCCTGACAAACATATTCCATGATAACCACGATTGCTCTGTCAAAAGTGCAACGAAAAAAAGAAGAACATTCTGAACTGTAATGCGTCGGTCTTTTCGCCAGCTTGTTCTTGATTTGAATCTGTACTTGATGTTATCGGCCGGCTCCTTCTCGGTTTATCTATAATTTCCGATTCTCTGTTTCCAAACTTCTTTAGTCAGCGCCGAACATTGCTTATGTCCACTACAGCATTCCCATAAACATTCTTCAAGCGATATGGATTTCCTGCACAAGTTTTTCTCTTCCAAAAACTCATTAATGCTCATATTTTTGCCTTCAAATCCATTGATCTAATCAGTCAATCTGAAAATGAAAAAAGTGTCTAAATAGAGTGAGGTTACCTCTAAAATACTATACATAGTTTTAGTAGCTTTGAGAGAAATAGAAGTTAGAGCGATGGAGATATTACTTTTTGAATGCCCCTCGTAATAAACAGGGTTGTATATATTAGGGACTAACTAGAGATGCCACAAATATTCAGCTACTATTCGGTATTCGGTCGAATATTACGAGTATTCGGCCGGATACCGAATATCAAATAATGAACAAAAGCACATATTATTCAAAATATATCATGTATTTTAATCACAAATTATTGCTTTAATACTTAAAATCAACTAGTTGCGGGTTGTGGTGTATGAAAACATTTTTTCAGCATTGTTTGGTAACAAACGATTCCGTTTTTCCTTATAAACAATTCCTGCTTCTGAAAATAGCCTCTCACTATAAACACTACTGCCAGGAGACGATAGATAAATCTTAGCAAATTTTGACAGGCTTGGATACTGCTTTGTGTTTGCTGCCCACCACTAGTAAGGATCTGCGCCCGATCTAGGTGAATAGTTTTCAAATAATGATCGATCTCATGTGGAATAGAACTTTTCTCCACATCCTCATCATTTTGCATATTATCTGTACCGACTTCTTCAAAACAGGTCTGGAAACTGTCATGTATTGATTCTATCGTTTTATCATTTTTCAGCAAAAACACCCCACCCCCGTTACCTCCGCACGCAGCGCAATGAGACAGGTCGTAACAGGTTGCGCGTGAAATGCACAGATCTTACGCCTAACGTTCGGCAGCCGAATATTCGGCGCTTTGGCCGAATATTCGGTATTCGGCCTAATCACTATTCGTGGCATCTCTAATACTAACAACCTCACAAGACTACATTAGTGACATCATAAATAACAACATTTTGTTCAAAAACTTTTAATATTCTATCAAATTTTATTTTAAACGGTGGTAACTCTGTACGGTAAGAAAAGAAAGCGCTAACGTAAATTCCAGTCTCACGCAAAACGCAGCAGCGGGGTGGGCATGGGTAGTCCAGAAAGACGCTTGCACGACCTTACTACCAAATACAGATCTAAAAAGTGTCAGATAGGTTAACAAAAGCTTGAGAGTAAATTTTTGTTAAATTTATTGCCTACTTTTGTAAGAGAACAAAAGTCCTTGTTTATGGTGTTAGCCTTGCGAGGTTGTTAATATTAACTCTATTAATTATTTTTTTTATCTCTTTAGTTTCTTTTTTTGTGTGGTAGTATTTGTTTCGGTCAAATGAGTATATTTTCTTTTTGATAATAATAATTTGTTACAAAAAAAAGGAAAAAACAACAAAAATATAACATTAACGTACTTGGAAATTAACAAAACGAATTGAATAATAAAAAAAGTGGTGCGGTTGAAGCATGATAAAATTATATTTGATATGAAAAACGATACGGTTTTATTTTCGTACTAAAAATACACTTTGCCAAAAATATTAGGGGTTAAAGTATGAAATTGCCGTTTTATTGCAATAG